ACGCGCGCTTTAGCTTCACACTTACACACAAGAGATTGCGGAGTCTAGCACGCGGATCTATCCTGTGAAGCGCTCGCGCGGGAGTCGAACCCGCAGGGGGCTCCACACATTGGTGGGCGGCTCCCCATTCCTGCCCGTAGGGAGCGAGCGTGTCGTCCGGAGTGTCCCCCTTACTCCGGACGCTGTCATTTAACGCCGTACAGTGGCGGGTCGCGGTTTCAACTCAACTCAACTCAACTCAACTCAACTCAACTAGGCCTGGACCGGGCCGGTCCAGCACGCTTCCAGCTGTCGCGCATGCTGGAACTCGGCTGTATAGTGCTGCTCGGTCTCGCGCGCTGCCTGCTTCAGCAGGCGCAGGTTGGCGGCCAGGTCCGGCTCGAGGTTAGTCGCGCTGAGGAACTGCTTGATTATCCTCTTGCGCTCGTGCGGTGTAGTGTAGAGCGGCCGGAGCAGACGGACGTGGTCCAGCATCTTGAAGCGGGTCAGCAGCACATACAGGGTGGCGCGCTTGATGCCGTTGGGTGGGACAGCGAGATCCACCAGCCAGCACTCGTCTTTGAAGCTGCGGCCTTGCACGAAGTAATCGGTGACCGCCTGGCGGTCGCCGAGCGGCACGTTCAGGCGCCGGATCTGCTTTGTGATGGTGCCGTACCCGGCGGCAGGCATCTCCACCTCGGCAATGCAAGACGCCCGGGGTGACAGGATGAAGGCACCACCCCTGCTGGCGTAGTCTCCAAGGCCCTGCAGCACGGTGCCGGGGATGTGGCCGCTTATAGGCCGCACAATGACGGCCGCCGGAAGGTACTTGAGCCGGCGGTAGGGGCCACGGCCGTCATCGGCTGGCTCGTGGCCATCCTCAAGCAGGCCGCAGGCTTCCACCTCGTTGTTGTGGCTCGCTCCGGCATCGGCAGCTGTCATATCAAGGAGGATGTATCGGGCGCCATGGTAGTACCACGTGTCGGCGGTGGTGTGGCCAAACTCGTGATCCTTGATCCGCATTGCAACTGCTTTCTCCACGTGTGTCAGGGCCGGTTCCGCAGCAGCACCGCGCTTCTGGACAGGGACGTGGTCCGCATTCCACACCACAAGGCGCTGATTCTTGCGCTGTGCCTCCAGCATGATGAGCCGGGTATTGAGTGTGTGGCGTGGTTCGTTCCTCTGCAGCACGACGCGCGGCTCGAGGTGTGCCAGGTCGGCCAAGTCGACGATGGCGCGGCTGTTAAGGTCGTCGACCATCTCGGCTATGCGCTGCTCGGTGGCTGGCTCACCGCCAAACATAGAGGCATACTCTGTCAGGCGACGACCAGAGGGGCTGCTGTCCTGGCGCTGCTGCTTCTCCAGCAAGAAGACCGTCTTAGCCAGGGATCGGTAAACCTGGAAGCCCTNCAGTATGCAGCTCTGCGTCTGTGGGACGGCCAGGGGCCGGCGTGCTGCTGCTTCGGGGTGCTGCTGACCGCCTTGAGATCCAGCGGCGGCCTCATTAGGGTCGTCATCGTTGTCCTCCTCTCCGTGCAGAGGTTGCGCGGTGGGACAGAGGGCGAGAACTGAGGGTGCAATTCCACAGCAGCGGCGTACTTGTAGAGGGGCGGGCCACCTGGCTTCGGGTGCTGGAACTCGTCGCCCGTGTTGGCGCTAGGACGGCCGCTGAAGATGGTGGCGGCGGGGTGGTCGCTGGCGAGATGCGGTGGCGGCAACAGGTGACGAGTGCAGGACTGGTTGCACACACCCAGGTGGTCCAGGCTGTTCATGCCGATCTCGTCAATGATGAGTGCACCATCGCCGACATTCCGATGCACCTGTAGGCTGGCTGCGCTGCCTTTCCTGACGCTGTCCGCTCGGTTGCTGCCAGCAGATAGGGCAAACATGGCGTGGGTAGAGAGGCTGCGATGCACCGGCGTGCTGAAGGCAGTTGCAGCAGCCCATGAGTAGGCGCAGGTGGCCGCCCAGTGCGGACAGCCATGCTGGAAGGTGTACCACAGGAGTGCTTGTACGAACTGGCTCTTTCCGGTACCGGGCTTGCCCTCCACAAGCATCTGCGGCGGGTCGCCAGGGTTGGGCTCATCACGATGATCGAAGTACCGAGCCATGAGCATGAAGGGCACGGCCTGGTGGGGGGCAAGTGTGAACAGCTCGATGGTGTCGTCGATGCTGGGCGGCTGGGGGAGGTGCACATAGATGGGCATGCGAGCCTGTTCAGTCCGCTCAGGAGTGCCAGGCATGCACACGATGGCGACCAGGGGTCCGCTGGTGGGGCGGTGCAGCTCGACACGAGGGGTGTCCATCTCAGGTGTGGCCGTCAGTCCCGTGTGGGCGCCCCCATCTGCCTCAACAGTGCCGGCTGCTGCTGCAACGAGATACCGCTTCAGACGCTTGGTTGCTTCAGTCAGGAGGGGCAGGTCCGCTGGCGTGATCCGACGGCTGAAACGATCGCTGCGTGCACCATGGCCGTCCGCTAGGGCCGGGGCTCGGCAGCGCCGTGCTGCATCATAGGCATACGCGCCAGCAGCGTTGGTGCAGTCAAACAGGTCAGTAAGAGCGACGGCGGCGAGGTCGGTGCCAGCCGTCGGATACTCCTGACCTGGGATGTACACGAAGTGCTCCAGCTGGTCCTCGGCGGGCGGCTGTGTTTCAGGATCAGGTCTGAGATGCCCGCGGATGCCGTCATCGGCATCTCCATCCGAAGCGCTCGTGCTGTCACCTTCAGGCAGCGCGGCTGCTGCCGATGCCGCACGCTGCTGGCGGCGCCGCTGGTTGTACTCCGCCTGACGGCGGGCTTTCCCAGCGTGGTCCTCTTCGATGTTGTCCAGCAGCACCGATACATACGCCTGGTACGAGCGACCTGCCTCGGTAGTGCCCAGCTCTGCCCACCAGGTGTCGTAGGCTTCCTTTACAGTCAGCCCGGGGGGGATGGGCTGACCCCGGTGAGCCTTGAAAGTACCCAGGACAAACGCGTAGTACTGCGCCATGCCCGCAGCAGAGGTGCCAGGGCGGGGCCGGCGGGGAAGAGAGCCTCCAAGCTGTACGTAGCGCGGCCGCGGCAGGCGGACGTGGACATGTGTTCTGTAGAGCAGATGCGTGCCGTGGAAGGCCACCAGGCGGGGCAGCTCCGTGGCTGTCTGAGACGTTGGCTGGTCGAGTGTCGCTGCAGCTGTAGGAGCAGGTGGCTCAGGAGGAGGGGCCGGGGCTGCAGTCGGCAGAGGCACAGGGGCAGGCACAGGGGCGGTTATGGGTGCGGCTGGGGTAGTGCGCTTACGACGTCGAACTGCCACCGGGATCTGTAGACCCAATCACTCTCGGTGCGGGTGCTGAGCTGGCGGCACACGTCGGACCTCATAGTTGGAGGATAGGTTGTACACGCTGCAGTCCAGGCCGCTGAGTTCTTCCCCCCGCAGCACGTAGCTCTGCACGGCGTTGGTCACCGTGTAGGCCTCCTGCTCCTCAGCCTCCACCAGTACCGCCGCTGTGGTCGCCGCCTCAGGAGATTGCTCCGCGCCCGCAGATAGCGCCGTGAATGCGTCTACCTGCAGGTATGCACACTCGAACGTCGCTTCGAAGGTGGAATGACCGTCCAGCTTCATGGCGACAAGCGCCATACCAGCCGTAATGGAAGCGGTCATGCGATGCACGGTGGCACACATGTTGCCAAACGCAGTGNGCCCAGTGGCACCCGGATTCGGCATCCTTCCAGCTAGCAGGAAATCCTGCACTCGGGGTAGAGCGTTGCATGTCAGCTGCGCCTGGCTGTCGTTTATGCTCTTGCCAGTGTACTTCGTGCTGTAGTAGGCAGCGTCGCGGGCGCGGTCAGCAGCAGGCTGCAGCAGCGCACAGTCCCCCCGTTCATCTTCAGGGCGGGCCAGTTGCGCTGCTGCCTCTGCAGTGTAGACGCGATCCACCTCGCACGCCAGAGTAAACAGCTGGTTGCACCCAAATGCCAGCGCTGCAGCTGGCATGTGCGGTACAATGTTCGGGCCCAATCGCGGCAGAAGGAAGAGGCCGCTGGTGCCAATCCACTGGAAGGCGCTGCGCAGGACACGAGGGAACGCCATGCCACAGCTATCATCTGTGCCACGGCAGCCGTGTCGCTTGCAGGTGTCGTTATGCGTATGAGTAAGCGTGCTGCGAACGACGGCCGCATGGTGCGCGCGACAAGCAGCGTGCCGGGGAGGCGGCAGGAGTCCGCCACCTGCACAGCCGGCGAGCCTGCCAAAATCGTACGCTGCAGGCGGGCAGGACTTGTCCACGGGCGGAGGTGCACGGCCATGCTGCTGGACCTCTTCGACGGTCATGTCCATGACGTAGTGTTCTGCACCGCGGGTGAAAGGGTCATAGTACGGCGAGGGATACCACATGGCGCACAGGGCGTATGCCAGGGCCAGCGCTCGGCAGTTGGGTCCACTGAACAGCGCCTGAAGGCGCTCGACTGCGAACGTGGCACATGCGCAACACCGTGGATGTGCAGGGCGAGGCGGCCGCTCTGCTCCACCTTGACCGCCACCTCAAACGTGAGCCAGCAGAAGCAGCGCGGGTTTGTCTGCTGCATGGCGCCCGGCGCGAAGCCGAATAGCTCCTCCACCAGAACCTCCTTGGTGGCCACCAGCAGGGCGGCGCAACTGTACGGGTCATCCTTCACACGCCGCCACTTCTCCACTGTGCTCGGGATATGTTGCGGTCGTCCGTCATCATTGAAGTCCAATACCTGTCCGGAGGTCACGACTGCACAGGCTGCATGCATATCTGCCGGATTTACGGTGAAGAACAGCGGGGGCCAGCCAATGGTGAGGGCGGCTGCACGCATCTTGGATCGGGCACCGTTGTAATACGCGTCTGTGAGGTCGAGGCGCAGAGTACTGAGGCGGGCCCCCTCCACCAGCGCCTTAACCAGCGGCGACTGCTGTGCAAGCAGCTGCCGCCGCTGTGAGTGCCGATACGGCAGCGCCAGTATGGTGCCCATAGCACGGATGACATCACGCGGCACACGCGCTGCTGGTTCGCCAAGATGCGGCCGCATGTTCATGGTAATGCCCACTTGCGCCATGCTTTCGTGGCGCATGCAGATGTCGTACATGCGTGCCAGCAGCATGAGATTGCCGCCGAATTGCGTCCGTGGCACGCGGTGCAGCAGGTGGCGACAATACGCCGGAAAAGACATGCCGCGGGGGCGCTGACCAGAAAAGCCGTACGGGAAGGACTGGGGGAAGCAGAGGGTGAGGATGGCGGGATGACGGTCATCCAGCACGTGGCTGTCACGGCCACCAGCCGCAAACGCAAGCCGTGCGCGGCCAGTCAGAAGGTCCTCCACTCGGCCCGGGAAGCGGTCGATTTCGCTGCCATCATCGCCCACATTCGACGGCTGTGGCAGGATCAGCTCCAGCTCGTCCAGAGTGGCAGCTGCCGGATCGACTGCATAAGCAGACAACAGATGCGCAAGAGCTGGGTCAGGATGCAATCCACGCTGATAGCATGGTGCAGCAACGGCGGTAAATGCAGCATGGTGTGTGCATAGGCCGGACAAAAGCGAAATCGAAGTGTCTCGAACGCGTTACAAACAAGCGAAGATGCGTTAGCCCTATGCTCAGCCAAGCAAGAGAATGCACGCACCTGGTGCACCTTCAACTGGCTGGTCGACAGGTCCACGCAGGATGGCGGTGAATGGCCCCAGTCCAGGGTCTTGCCCTGCACTCAATAACACACACGGGGGAGTAGTAGAACACATCACCAGCGGGACAGGCGAGTGTACTGCAAGAGTCCAGCCTATCCGGCAGGTCAGGCTGTGCATCGAGATTAGTTAGCACAAGAGGAGCATTCTCTCGATGCACGGGACAGTGGCGGTAGCGGCTGTCCGGTGCAGGAGGTGCAGTGCAAGGGCAACACGAAAGCAGAGAGTACACAACAGAGCACACGAAGCACAGTAACAAAATAACACACCTGCATTCGGGGTCGGATCCGCCAGTGTTGGCTGCACCGGTCCTGCAGGATCCACGTCAGGTGCCACAGTTGCATCGGCGAGTTGCCCTGCACTCAATTACATACACGGGGGAGTAGTAGAACACATCACCAGCGGGACAGGCGAGTGCGCTGCAAGAGTCCAGCCTATCCGGCAGGTCAGGCTGTGCATCGAGATTCGTCAGCACAAGAGGAGCATTCTTTCGATGCACGGGACAGTTGCGGTAGCGGCGGTGCAGGAGGTGCAGTGCGAGGGCAACACGAAAGCAGAGAGTACACAACAGATCGCATGAAGCACAGTAACAAAATAACACACCTGCATTCGGGGTCGGATCCGCCAGCGGTGGCTGCACCGGTCCTACAGGATCCACGTCAGGTACCGCAGTTGCATCGGCAAGATTGCCATCACGAACAGCCGCTTCCACCACGTCCTGGAACTGCCGCACACCTGCCGCACCCGTGCGATCGTGCAGGAAAGTGGTGCGGAGAACGTTCGCCACCTCCAGATCAGTCGGCGCAAGGGCGGCGTGCAGGATTTCGTCCGGCACACNTGCAGCACAGCCCATGCGTTCGTACTCCTGCAGAGCATCCTCATCAACAGCCAGCTCCTCCTCGTCGTTGTGCTGCAAGAACCGGACCCAGGCGACGATGACCTGTCCTCGCACCTGTAGACCTGGCGCCTTTCGCACACGTTCCAGCAGCTCCGCCCGGTTGCGAACCTGGTCGACACACACAACCGTGATAGCGCCAGCCAGGTCGGACGCCCGTGCCGGCAGCTGTGCTCGCAGCATATTCGGGTCAGGATTTACGACCCCAATGCCGTGAGTCTTTACAGCATGCGGGAAGACGTCCGGCGGTCGGTCTGCCAGGTACATGATGAGCAACTGCTGGATGATGCGGCCGCGGCCCAGAAGCTGCCCCTCCAGGAAAGTGGGCGACGGCAGAGGGTCACCCAGATGGTTGACGCGCGGCACATCGCCAGGGTCCAGACGCGCCAGTGCAGCTTCGGGAACTCGGCGGGCTGTAGGAGGGGGGCAAGCACGGGCAAGTAGGTCCGAGACGACTAGGGAATCAATAGGAAAGCGGGCAGCAAAGGCAGGAGAGGCAAGCACATGCTGCAGATGAATGGAGCAGAACAGACGCAAGCAGAATGTGCCGCACTGAGTTATACCTCATAGACACGACGAACAGCAGAAACTGACTTACCACTCAAGGCCTTGTGGCAGGCGTTGCATATGAATATGCGTTCTGCAACACCGTCGCCGACCAGCATAGTGCGGTTGGGCAGATCCGGCTCTAACCGCATGCAGTACGGCACCTCCACACTAGCTGGGTCGTCAAGGCAGGCTCTGGGCAGCACCCGCGGAGGACGCGGCTGCTGGTCCAGCGGAAGTTGCTCGGGCGGCTCCTGCCCAGCCGCCGCTGCCTCTAAATCACCAGTCTCCGGAGCATCACCACCCATCTCCAATGCCCCTTCCGCTGCATCATCCACCAGCCTGCCTGCTCCACTAGCACTGCCGCCGTCCTCATCCACAGCACCAGCCCGCTCAGCCCGGCTAACACGATACCGAGCCGGCAGGACCGGATCAGGTGGCGGTGGTGCGTCTCCCTGAGCTGTACGCGCCATCCGCTGCCACACCAAAGTACGCCCCCAGCGCTGCACAGCGTCAGTACACATGACGTCTGCACGTAGAATGTCGACGTTGGGAATCTCCATCCAGTACAGCACCGTCGACTGGTCCTCCGAGCACACCTCAGAGCACACAGCACAGACACGGGAGGGCATGCGCCGGCGCAAGGCAGCAGCCATGGCCGATGCACACTGCAGCTGCACGGTGTACGGTACCTGCCTGTCAGGCGGTAACTGACCGCCAGGAAGGTCCTGCACGCGGCCCTCTGGAATTGCCAAAAGGAAGTCGGGCAAGTCAATGGCGGCATCACGATGAAGGTCCGCAAAGCGCAGGAGACGGTGCATGCGAGCCAATAGGGTGTCCCTAGGGGCGGCCTGCTGGTTCTGCTGCTGCAGCTGGCGTGCAGCCGCATGCTGTGCTGTGTTCCGATGCTGCTGGAGCGCCCTCACCTCCGGGTCAGCACGTGCAGCTGCATGCTGTACTGTGTTCTGCTGCTGCTGGAGCACCCTCACCTCTAGGTCAGCACGTGCAGCTGCATGCTGTGCTGTGTTCTGCAGCTGCTGGAGCGCCCTTACTTCCGGGTCAGCACGTGCAGCTGCATGCTGCGCAGCGTCACGCAGCTGTTCCTGCGCCCTCACCTGCGGGTCGACACGTGCAGCCGCGTGCCGTGCAGCGTCCTGCTGCCGCTGCAACAACCGTAGCTCAGGAAGGGCTGCCGCACGCTGTGCAGCTTTCTGCCGCCGCCATCTCTCCCGTACTTCCGCAGCAGAAGCAGCAGCATCCCGGTGCTGCCCTTCCAGCTGTGTATCTACAGCAGCTGCCGTTGGATGGCGTCCGTCCTCTGCGGGCCCCGCTGGATCTATTTGTACGGCTGTCTGCTGTACTGCGGCATGCTGCTGCTGCTCAGGTGCATGGCCCGTACTCAAATCGGCGAACGGACGTATCCTGCCACCACGGAAGCCGTCTGCAAGCGACCCAAGCCGAAGCCTTTTCGGAGCAGGTGACTGATCCGACATTAAAGCGGATCCGACGAGGTGAACGTATACTATTTCAGCCGTTAAGAAGATCAGCTCGTGAACGGCGAAGAACACGAAAGCGAAAAGAAAGAGCAAAAAACTCGAACGTATTTCGGCACAGTGACAAAGGGAATTGAGAGGATGCCAAAGCTTACAAGCGAAGAACGGCGCTGTATAAACGCGTACGGCATTCATTCCGACGCGGAATTAAAGCGCGCGTCGAAGCAAAAGAAGCGAAAAGAAAGAGCAAAAAACTCGAACGTATTT